TCATGCTCTGTCCACCTTCCCCTCACTCCCCACCCACTCCTCAAAGAAGGTAAGGCTTCCCATGGGGAGTCAATGAACTCTGGCACCTTACTTTCAGGCAGGACCAAGGCCCTCCCCCTGTGTCTAGGCTGAGCATGGTAACCCTCCAAAGAGAATGGGCTCAAAAAGCCGGTTAAAGCACTAGGGATAAATCCTGGTCCCACTGCCAGAGGCCCCACAGGCTGGACAAACCACACAATTGTCACACAAATTCAGAGGGCCTAATTTGGTCTTAAGTGGATATTAGATGTAAAGCAAAGAATAACCAGCCTATTGTCCATAACCCCAGAGAATCTAGATAACAAAGAGAACCCTAAGAGAGACATACATGGATCCCCCTGGGAAGGGGAAATAGATAAGATCTCCTTACCTTCCATAACATTAACGTAATAACCATCAGTAATTCCTATGTTTCTCTCAAAGCTATTTTATTCTATGCATATTTATATAGTAAGAAACTTGATTATTTTCTATTCCCATGAATAGACTTGTTCATAGTAGAGTATAGCTACTTCAAACAGAAACACAGATTTTTTTCCCACAATCCTCCTTCAAGAGCACCAGTACCAGTGGATGCAAAATTCCTTTGTGTAAAATGATGTAGGAACTGGGAACAAACTACTAATTGCAAGTGGTGGTGGTGACACGCACCTTTAATCCCAGCGCTCATGAGGCAGAGGCAGGCAGATCTTGACTTCAAGGTTAGTGGGTCTACAACCTGAGTTCAGGACTGCCAATGCAACCCCAAGAAACTTTATGTTGTGGGATATTTGATCCCAATGTTACACTCTAAGACTGTCACTAAAGTTTACCTTGAATCAGGGCATGGAGCCAGCAACTAGCTGAGCTGAATTAGCCATAGAGAAACCAGCAAGTTGGATAGAGATGACACACAGGAAGGAAAGGGCAGGGACTTGGGTTTGGGTGCTCTTTTTGGTTTGGGGAGGACTGAAGAGACATGTCTTGCTGGCTCTTCAGCCAAAAATCAAAGTCAGCAGGTTGCTTTTCAACTTCTGTGATCTATCAGATTTTCACCTCCATAAATGACGTCTGAGTCATTGTTGGTAAATAGAAGGATAAAGACTTAGTTTAAACCTACGTATCACAACCACTCCAGAGCCAGGGATGCTGGACCAGAAGTCTCTCCACGTAGTGGCTGGAGTGGCTAGTGGGGCACTGACTGTGGGGCGTTAGGGCCAAAGACAATAATTAAAACATGAGTTGATCCTGGTACACCATCGTCACTGGCCTTGAACCAGACCAGTGAATCACTGCAAGGAATATTTGCTGATTGGACAAAAGGATATAATAAATAGCACACTGAGGCCCCCAATGCCACCAGGATGAATGAAGAGGAATTGTAGAGGTGGGGAAGTAGAAGTGGAAAGTTTTATTGTTGTTTTTTTTTTTTGTTGTTGTTTCTTTATTCTTGTTTGTTTGCTTGCTTGCTTTATTTCATTTGTTTTGATTTTTTTCTTTAATTTCATTTTGTTGGGGGGTGCTTCAGGTGTAATGAGAAGATATGGGGGACCAGGAGGCAAGTAGAATTGGGGTGTATGATGTGAATCTCCCAAAAAATCAATAAAGAAGTTAAATTTAAAGAGTGTAGATTCTTGTACAGCTGCTAAGATGACTGAAATAATCACCTTGTCTTATTGAAGAAAACCTATTAATTGCAACTTAAGATTTAATACTCACACATAATTATATGTATTTCTGACATTTTTATAGATTATTTTGATTATCTATTTGTAGCTGTTATTCATAGTTTCATTTCTTTTCCAACACCCTTAAGTATATTAATGAAATTTTTCTTTTCTTTTTTTTGTTTTTTTTTTTATATTTTTTTATTCATTCAAGTTAGGGAACAGGCTTGTTTCACATGTAAGTCCCTTCTCCCTCTCCCTCCCCTTACTCCCATCCCTCCTCCTCCACCTCCAACCTATCCCCCACCCCATCCACCCACCACTCCCCAGGCAGGGTAGGGCCCTCAACAGGGGCTCTGCAAAGTCCACCAAATCTTCTTGTGCTGGGCCTAGGCCCTTCCCCATGTGTCCAGAGCCAGAGTGTATCCCTTCACATGGGATGAGCTCTCAAAGTCCCTTCTTACACCAGGGAAAAATGCTAGTCCACTTCCAGAGGCTCCCTGGAGTGCAGAGGCCTCCTTATTGGCATCCATGTTCAGGGGGCTGGATTAGTCTTGTACTAGCCTCCCAGATAGCGTCTGGGGTCGATGTGCTTTCCCTTGTCCAGGCCAACTGTTTCTGTGGGTTTCTCCAACCTGGTACAGACCCCTTCGATATTCATTCCTCCCTCTCTTCAACTAGGTTCCAGATTTCAGCTCAGTGTATTTCTGTGGATGTCTGTCTCTGCCTCCATCAGCCACTGGATGAGGGCTCTAGGATGGCATAAAGAGTAGTCATCAGTCTCATTTTAGGGGAAGGGCGTTTAGGTTATCCTCTCCACCATTGCCTGGATTGTCAGCTCGTGTCATCCTTGTAGGTCTCTGGAGATCTCCCTAGTTCCAGATCCCTTCTCAGACTTATAGTGGCTCCCTCTAGTATGGTATCTCTCATCCTGCTCTCTGTCCTCTATTCTTCCCCCTACTCAATATCTCTGCTCCTCCATTTCCTCTCCTCTACTCCTCTTCTTGTGCTCTTATTGTAGCAGCACCCACTCCCCTACCCTCATGCCCCCAATTAGCTCCAGAGTTCATGCCACTTCTCATTCCTGGGGTCTATTTATCCCTTAGAGTCCTTCATGATTCCTAGTTTCTTTGGGGAAGAGGATTATAGGCTGGTAAACCTTTGCTCTATGTATAAAATTTGTATATGAGTGAGTATATGGATTTAAACAAATCCAATAGTAATACTTTATGTGAAGATAAGCTTGTTATACATGGCCCTGGTCTCTTTTTGTTTTCTGTTTGGCTTTTAGTGTTTGTTTCATGTAATGTTTAAGACCATATTTCTTATTGCTTAGTCGGGCCTTTCACTAGCTATATAGCCCAGGATGACTTCGAACTCTCAATTCTCCGCCTCTCTCTCTGAAGTGCTAGGATTACCAGCATGTGCCATTGTGGCTGGTTTTATGCAGTACTGGGAATGCTGGATAATTTTATGTTAACTTGATACAAGCAAAATCCGTCTGAGAGGAGGAAATTTTAATTAAGGAAATGCCTCTGTGAGATTGGATTGGGCAAGCCTGTCAGGCATTTTCCTAATTCTTAGTGACTGATTGGAAAGGCCCAGTTTTTTTTTTGCAGGTGGTGCCATCTCTAACCTAGTGGTCCTGAGTTCTATGAGAAAGCAAGTTGAGCAAGCCATGGCCAGTAAGCTGGTATGTAGCACTCTCATGGCTTCTGCATTAGCCCCTGCCTCCAGATTTGTGCCCTTCTTGAGTTCTTGCTCTAACTTCCTTCATTGATGAACAGTGATAATAAGTGCAAGCCAAATAAAATAAACCCTTTGCTCCCAAAGTTTTTTGGTCATGGTGTTCTATCATAGCAATAGAAACCCTAACTAAGAAAATTTCATGAGCAGTCTCAGGAGGTCAGACTTCATGCATGCTAAGGTAGAACTCTTTCAATTAAACCACATTACCAATTCATGAACTGCTGTGGAATAAACCTCTTGTGTAAAGATCTGTCACTAGAATTGGTTAATAAAATGCTGATTGGCAGGAAGTATAGGTAAGGTGATTAAGCTAAGGATACTGGGAAGGAGAAAGGCAGGGTCTAGAGTCACAGGCCAGGTACAGAGGGAGCAGGAGGTGAACATGCAATTCTAATAAAGGTACCTCAATGTGGCAGAGCATAATTAAGGAATATGGGTTAACTTAAAATGTGTTAGCTAGTAATAAGCCTGAGCTATCAGCTGAGCATTTATAAATAGTATTAAGTCTCTGTGTTGGTTATTTGGAAACTGGTGGGCCGGAGTGAAATGTTGGACTACAATGAATGCTATTTTTTATATTAAAAAGATATTAATTTAATTGCTTATAAAAATTTCTGTGTGGATAGTTATGGTTACACTCTAAGGAATTTGAAAATAGGAATCAGTTCTTTTTCAGTACTGAAGTTTTGAGGGGAAAATATTACTCAAGCAATTAAGTTTGAATTGTTTTCCTTGTAAATATTACTTGTCATAATTTTTTATACAGTTTCTGAATTTCAGTTTGCTTCTGATGGTGTCAAATTAATGCTAATATAAACATGTGAATATTTATGTGACTTTTTATTTGGTTAATATAGACAGCATACATGAAGGAATGCATTTGTGTACAACTGTTAACATTTATTACTGCATTTCATCAGAGTGGAATACACAATTATCCTAGAAAATAAAAAATAGTCATTTGGTAACCTTAAACAGATATTTTACTATAAAATATATGCATATCAATTTAACAAGTGTTTGTGTCAAACAGAAAGTCAGTCTTACACATATTGGGAAGTCTGGAAAAAAAACTTTGTAATGGACAGAGGTGATAATTATCACAGTTACCTTACATTTTAAATCTTGAGCAATTTTATTATACAGCCAACTTCTGTAAAAAATAGTAAATAATTGGAAACAATAAATAAAATAAACATTATAAACAATCATATGCAAGTGATATAATATATACCTATAAAAAGACAAGAGAATCAAGTTAAAAAATGAAGTATAGGAAGACACACTTGGAGGTTTTACTATTTTTTAGTAACTGTAACTCACTGCAGAAATATATTGCAGTTGTAAATCTTAAAATGGGATATATGACAAAATAGTTCCAAGATTGTTTATTAATAAGTAACTCGGGCATGTTACCCTAAGTTTGAAGTATGTTTGGATAACCCCATCTGAACAAATTACAATAAAATTCAGAAAGTTAAAAATATATGAAAAGCACAAATTTAGAAATTTAATAATTTCTTATAAACCTCTTCTCTAGAAGAGTTATAGTGGCACAAAGAGGATCTATGGATCCAAGGTTCCCACTTGCTTGCACCAATACCTCAGCCACCGCAATACTGAAAGCAAGTCCTGTCTCAGCTTACTGTGTCCCAGAATGAAGACACATGAGTGTATGGAAGGAAAAATCGTTATACTGACCCTTGCAAGCAGAAGAGTCTCCCTTCTCTCTATATCAAACATCCAAAATTCTAGAGCTAGAGACAGAAAGAATGCCATGTAAAATAGGAGGAAGACAACCACAGTCTGCAAGGCTGTGATGTGTGCCCAGATTCTGATATCTTTGCATCCTTTGGTGAAAAACTGCATCTTCCTTATGTGTTTCCAAAGAGAGATGATTAGGAGGAGGAAAGCTGTCAAGGATACCCCAAAGGGTATCAAAGTGAACATTAAACTTGGCAATAAAATAAGCCTGGGAAATTCTACAAAACTTGGACTCAAACTGTTAGATGTGTTTACTTTGTATCCATCAATCCAGGCATCAATATGTTTGATAACTAGAAACATATTCAAAAACAAAAGGACCAGTGATAACAGCAATGCCATCAAAACCACCCTCTTAATTTTCCACTTTAGGTAGAGGAAAATAGCATTAGAAAAAATGGCTATCTTGAGAAAATAAAAGATGCTGAGACTAGTAGTAAGCCAGACGCTGAAATGATTGCTTATATTCCAGGCAATCTGTATCATTCTTAGTGTATTTCTAGTAATTGATAAGAGTGAGAATTTTAAAAACACCAACCAGTCTAGAAATAGAACCCACACTGCAGAGAATCTGGAGATTGCCAGAGCAGTGAGGATCTTATCCACTGATGGAATCTTTCTTCTCTTTACAGAGTTCACGCAGTTTACCAGTGCTATGAATCCATTTCCCAAATTTCCAATAAAGAACTCAATAATGAAAATGATATTTAGTATGCTCTGTAGAATAGTAGCCATTCTTTAGGTGACCCCCAAATCAGTTTCAAATGGTGAATAGTTCTTAGTGGATTATTCTAAAATTCAGAGAGATTATATATTTTAAAAAAGGACATGTACAAAGTTAAAACTGAAAAATGAAGATTTACTTGTGACTTACTTCTGCATTTTAGCATGAAAATTTTGCATTTTCCTTCCAGCTTGACTGAACTTCTTTCAAGTCCTGTGTGTGTAACGTATCAGTCCATAAGGAGCCACTGAATTACAGTGTGCTAGAATGCAAATAAAGATGGGCTAATTTGCATTTTTCATTTCTTCCCTTGTCTGTGCAGATAACCTGTTACTTGATTTTATGCAATCAGCATTACAAAATCAAAATCACTTGGAAATCTTTCAACTAACCATGCTACCTAATAAGATTGCATTATTTCCAAATGTTGAGCAATGGATCACAAACACACACACACACACACACACACACACACACACACACACACACACACACACACACACCCTACTACTAGTACTACTACTATGCCTACTAGTAACTCTACTTTTACTTTGAACAAAACCACTTTTTTTTGCCTATTTTACATATTCTGCTTTTTAACACATATTACACATATTATGCTTTAGCCTCATTATTAGTACTGTTTTAGTGGTTAAGCAATTGTGTAAAAAAATTCATATATATGCTACAGCCTTAAATGATGATTCTTGAATATGTACTAAATGCTTTTCAGGGTATGAAATGCTGATGAGTCTTTTGCCTACTTGTGGAAAAATGAGGTCTTGAATATGAAAATCTACCTTGTGGTTTGTGTGTTTTAATGCATAGTCCCCAGATGATGACATTATTTTGGGAAGAGGTAAACATTTCTGTTGAATATTTACTTGCTGGCATGTAAACTAAGACATGCTCTCCTGTATGTTTTGCAAGTTTTTTTCCTATAGTATGGGCTATATTGGAAGACTGTACATCTTGTCCCCCAACACTTTACACTTCTTTTCATGTCTTTTGTGAAGTGAGCTCTTTGTCCTCACCACATGCTTCCTGCCATAAATTCATTCTTGTTTTTGGTCCATAGCAATGGAGTCAGTAGATCATGAACTATACCTTTTATACCATGAGCCAAAAATCTGTATTTGTTTCCCCCCTAATTTAATAGCAACAGAACAGTTAAGGAAAACAATCTGTGTAAGCACAAAACTGGAAGTTATAGTATCTTTAGAGTTTGGGATAGTTTTAATAAAACTGTTGGTTGCTTTGTCCCCAGAATGTCATCTTGTGTCTATGCATTCTGCAAGTTTGAGTTACTTTGTTATTGTGAGAGTGTGTGTGTGTGTGTGTGTGTGTGTGTGTGTGTGTGTGTATGCTAATACAGACCTGAGAAGGATATTGGATGCCATCTTCTGCCACTGTCCACTTTATTCCTTTAAGGCGGGCTCTCTTCCTGCACCCAAGGCTTGCTGTTTTGGCTAAGCTGTCCGACCAGCCATTTCTCAGATTCTGCCTGTATTCTCTCGGTGTGAGGGTTACAGGCACATACAGCCATGCCTGGCTTTTTATATGGAATATGGTTACTTAGGCAGTAACTAAACCTTTTGACATCTGTCCTTCTATAGTCTCAGCAACTGTGTTTGCTCTACATAGGTAATTTTAACATTTTTTCACCCAGAAAAGAAAGATGACACAATTGTTTTTGTGATACAGATACTATTGGAACACAGAATACTTTGTTTGTTTCTTTAATCTTATGATGTAACATATTTTTGTTTTTGTTTGTTTTTCAGGGTGGAGATGATATGCCAATGTCAGAGAAAAGAAATCCATGCCTAGTACCACTGGCTGTGACTTCACCTCTGATCTAACCTCCCTATCACGCCCTAAAATTTAAACTTGGACCAAAGCTCTTGCCTAATCTGTGACCAGTTGCAAAAGAAAGGTAGTGGGTACACTAAAGGATAAATTTAATGAAGCATTTGTGAAAACTACTCTCAATCTCCAAACACTGCACAATAAAATATGACATTACCTTTCCACAGGAAGGAATTATTTCAACCTGGCGATGGGTAGAAGTTGAATATTTACTTGCTGGCATGTAAACTAAGACATGCTCTCCTGTATGTTTTGCAAGTTTTTTTCCTGTTTGTCATATAATATGTGAGTTTAGCTTGCATGCCAGATGATATAATTTAAAATGTGATACACATAATTTGCTTTAAATATCAAACTTGACAGATGGGAGTCATGTGCAGATCACCTGATGGCTCCATTTCACTAGTGATTTATAACACACACACTAGGAATTAAATCTGAAATAGGGGCTTTAGTAATAGTTTCAGTGTGCAGGAATATTTAGGAACTAGCCACTTTGTGAAAAGATCTTTAAATGAAGTCTATGAGGATAATTTGTTTTTATTTTATCATTTTTTCTTCTTTTTAGATATCTGTTTGTTTTCTACTAAGAAAGAACAAGAAAAGTTCTGGATTTGGGTGGGTGGGGAGGTGGAGAGGATCTGAGAGTAGTTGAGGGAGGGAAAACTGTAACCAGAATATATTGTATTAAAAAAAAAATAGCTGGGTGATGGTGGCGCACACCTTTAATCCCTGCAGTCAGGGAAGCAGAAGTAGGCAGATCTCTGTGAGTTCAAGGCTACCCCTGTCTAAAGAATGAGTCCCAGGACAGCCAGAGCTACACAGAGAAACACTTTCTCAAAAAAAAAAAAAACCTACTTTCAAAAGGAGGAATTTAAATTTCTCACAGTGCTTTAAAAATATAAATCAGCTATTTTTTTCTGGTTTGGAGAATTGGAAGGTGTTAAATTTCACTAATGCAAACAAATGTGTGGGTATTTATTTGGCATTGCTTAATATAGACTACATACATTAAGGAAAAATTGCCAGTGTTTCATGTAAAAATATTAATATGTATAAATATTTTAACTTATTAGAGGTAAAATATAATCATAATTTTATTGTAGGTTTTAACTGAAAAGTATAAGCAGAGAAAAATTATCTGTCTACTATAAGGAGAAGCATTTCTGATGAGCTTTTACAGATATTCTGATCTGTGGGTATAGCAATTAACCATTGGGTGTCATTTTAATATTATGTCCATTTGTAATAGAAGTTATACTGGGTTTTGTTGATTTTTGAGGCATCTTAAAGAGACAGGAGACAGAAAGACATGAGAGTCTAACCATTTAGCAGACTGGACAGTTCATTGGCTCACAGTGAAGGACAGCCAATCTCCGAACACTAAAGGGTTACAGAAACTGGGGGGCCTGGGAGTATAGTTTCTTCCTTATAGGTTTTCTGCTGAGAATGATCATTGGTGGGGGAAGTGGGTGTAGTTCTAGGTCCATGGAAGAACCACGTGGTGGCTCACAACCATCTGTAATGAGATCTGGTACCTTCTTCTAGGCTTCAAGGATATATGCAGACAGAACACTGTATACATAATAGATAAAAATAAATCTTAAAAAAGTCTGATCATTGAGATTAAAGCTGGATTTCAATAAAAACAGAAACATCATAAGGTTTACAAACTAATGGAAACAGGGTAACTCTCTATTAACTGAGTCAAGACAGAAATGAAGAAGGAAATTAAAGACTTTCTAGACTTTAATAAAAATGAATATGTAACATAGTCAAACTTATGGGACACAATGAAGCAAGTTCTAAGAGACAAATTCATAACACTAAATGCCTACATAAAAATTAGAAGTGATCTCACACTAGTAACTTAACAGTATACCTACAAGCTCTAGAACAAAAGGAAGAAATCACACTCAAAAGGAGAAGATGGCAAGAAATTATCAAACTCAAGATTGAATTGATAAAATAAAATAAACAAAAAATGAAAAAAACATCAATGGAACAAAGAATTTGTTCTTTGAAAAAAATCAATGAGATTGACAAATCCTTATCCAAATTAACTAAGAAGGAGAGAGAATATCCAAATTAACAAAATTAGAGGTGAAAGGGCAGACATAACAACAAATACTGAAGAAATCCATAGAATCATAAAAGTATACTTTAAAAACCTGTACTCAACAAAATTGGAAAATCTAAAATAAATGAATAATTTTCTTGATACATACCATTTACCAAAGTTAAATCAAAATCAGATAAGCAGTTTAAACAGAACTATAACCCATGTTGAAATAGCAGTAACTAAAAGTCTTCCAGCCCCAAAAGCCCAGGGCTAGACTTTCAAAGAAGAGTGAATACTAGTACTCCTCAAGTTATTCTACAAAACAAGAACAGGAGATACATTGACCAATTTGTTTTACAGGGCCATAGTCATCCGGTACCCAAATAACATAAAGACCCATCAAAGAAAGAAAATTACAAATGAGATCACATATATTCCTTTATTTCATGATCTAGCCAGGCCGCAATCTTTGGTAGCAGATGCTTTAGTAGAACCTCAATTCTCATTTGCTAGCATGCAAATGAAAGCATATTCTCTTTTAAGGATTTATGGACATTTATCTTCTCACAACCACATGATTTGGCTATTCAAGTACAGATATCAGCTAGTAAAATTTTAAACCCTAGTAACTAAACCATGTAGAAAATATTTAAATTGATAGATGGAAGTTAGCTATTTTGAGATGATATATTTGAAAGAAATAATCCCCATGTAAGCTGGCACTATGTACAAAGAATATACATGGATAAAAATTGATTTATGAAGAATAATTTGTCAATTCTGTAGTTTTTTCTTTTATTAAGCTTCTCACTATGCTTAACAACTTAATAAACCCTGAGTGTTGAAAGCTAATACTTTCAGCTTTGTTGTTTGCATGCCATAAACTTAGACAGACACAGTCTCTCACCTTCTCTTACACATTTTGTTTGTCCCTGCTGTAATTATAAGTAATATAAAACTAATGTGTAAGTATCAGTTTATTATATTATGAGTAATGTAGTAAATAATAAACTGAGGCATGAGGTATCATACCCTGTAATTTTCCAAATGAGAAGAGTCATGGAAACTTGCAGCTCCTTT